TGATTTTTTTTTTACCGACATAGTGAAACCTGTACAATTGCTAGTGTGGATACAGTTGTCCCTGTATAAAGGTCTCTTTCTACTGGTGTAACTTATTCCCCTTTCTTTGTAGGAATAAGCTATGCCCGTATAATTGTGTCTACTGTAGGGATTTTGCATCACTGGTTATGGAGGTGAAGAAGGCCTTATGGAGGTACCATATAATGATCTAAAATGAAATTTCGCCAGGCCCTTGAGGTTAGCACTTAATACTTTGACTCCTGTGTGTGATACCTTGGCAGGCCAGGAGTTGCTGAGTGTCGTGTGTATGGGCTGAAACACAGAACCCAACTCCACTCCGATCAGGGGGCTGTTGGCCAGGCATGACCTTGATGAGCTGGAGATCCTAAAGGATTGCCGGGAGTGGAGCGCAAAGGATGTGTTTGTGGAAGGCAAAAGCTTGTGGAAGTGGCATGTTCGTTTTAGAGTCATGTGGACGTGCTGTGAAGCTAGCACTGAGAAGGGGGCGGGGCAGGGCAGGGAAGGAGGGTGGAGGTGCGGGGAGAGGACGCGGTTAGGGCTCAGTGTCAAAGAACAAACCCTGTGCAGTGACCTAAACCACACATTCGCACATCCTCCACCCACACGGCAGCCCCCATCCCTTCGCACTACAGGGTGTGGGCAAAATGCTCTCTTCGCGGCTCATGGGGCACGCAGACTGGCCCCAAATGCTTTTTGTACGTTCAAGAGGACTCATTTTCAGAGCTGCTGTGGCTTCCGCTGAGATTCGGAGTATAAGAGGATCATAGAACGGAATCATTCTGATTCTATCATAGAACCCCAGGGCTGGAAGAGACCTCAGGAGTCATCGAGTCCAGCCCTCTGCCCAAAGCAGGACCAACCCAAATAAATCATCCCAGCCAGGGCTTGGTCAAGCCTGGCCTTAAAAAACTCTAGGGATGGAGATTCCACCGCCTCCCTAGGGAACCCATCCCAGTGCTTCCCCGCCTTCCTAACAACATAATTTTTCCTAATATCCAACCTAGACCTTCCCCACTGCAACTTGAGACCATGGCTCCTTGTTCTGCCATCTGCCACCACTGAGAACAGCCTCTCTCCATCCTCTCTGGAAACCCCCTTCAGGTAGTTGAAGGCTGCTCTCAAATCCCCCCTCCCTCTTCTCTTCTATGGACTAAATGCGCCCAAATCCCCCAGCCTCTCCTCATAAGACACCTGTTGCAGCCCCCTAATCAGTTTTGTTGCCCTCTGCTGGACTTTCTCCAATGCATCCACATCCTTCCTGTAATGGGGGACCCAGAATGGGGGTGGGTGGGGAGCAGCAGGGCCGCATTATGACTTTCGTGGGCCCTAGGCACTTTTGCCTTCGTGGACCCCTTCCTCCATAAAAGAAAAATATTAAAAATTATTTTTGATATAACTTTAAATACTTCAACATTTTTTTTTCCTGGTTTAGGCAAAATTTAATAGATTTTCGTGGGCCCTAAAAGTGTCATTTTTTTCTGATGTGAGGAAAAAATTAAAACATTTTCGTGGGCCCCTAAAAGTATCGTGTGCCCTAGGCACTGTGCCTACCATGCCTAATGGATAAGTTGGCCCTGGGGGGCAGTAGCATCAAGAGGCCCCTACTGAGATTGGGGCAGTCGTGCTTGGTGCTGTACAAACCTGTGGTGAAAGACAGCCCCCTCCCCCAAAGACCTTAGGGAGAGCAAGTGGACTGGCCAGGGTTGTACAGGGAGCCAATGTAAGAGCCAGGAATTGAATCCCTCTCACCTGAGTTCCAGCCCGATGCCTTAACCATAAGGCTCGAACTTCCTTTTATGTTTAAAAGCCTCAGAGGAGTAGCCATGTAAGTCTGTAACTTAAAAAAACAATGAATAGTCCTGTAGCGCCTTAGAGACTAACAAAAATATATATAGTATCATGAGCTTTCGTGGGCACAACCCACACTCGTCTGAAGAAGTGGGTTGTGTCTACAAAAGCTTATGATACTATATGGCTACATCTAGACTGGCATGATTTTCCGCAAATGCTTTTAATGGAAAAGTTTTTCCATTAAAAGCATTTGCAGAAAAGAGCGTCTAGATTGGCATGGATGCTTTTGCGCAAAAGCACTTTTTGCGGAAAAGCGTCCGTGCCAATCTAGACGCGGTTTTACGCAAGAAAGCCCCAATCGCCATTTTCGCCATCGGGGCTTTTTTGTGCAAAACAGTTTTTAGCTGTCTACACTGGCCCTCTTGTGCAAGAGCATTTGCACAAGAGGGCTTTTTCCTGAGCGGGAGCAGCATAGTATTTGCACAAGAACACTCACAATCTTACATGAGATCGTCAGTGTTCTTGCGCAAATTCAAGCAGCCAGTGTAGACAGCTGGCAAGTTTTTTCCACAAAAGCAGCTGCTTTTGCGGAAAAACTTGCCAGTCTAGACACAGCCTATATGTATATTTGTTAGACTCTAAGGTGCTCCAGGACTACTCGTTTTTTTAACTTCCTCCCTTTGAAAATCCCCTCTGCGACAGAGTAGTTGATCAGATCCGGGGTCTTAATTTCTTTGGACAGCTCCTCTCTGTTCAGGGAAGCAAAAGGCCAGAGTCTGAACTGAGTTGAACTTAACACAACATCTAGCTCGTAAAGTGCTGGGAAGATGTTTGAGGTGAATTATGCATGGTGTTTCTGTTGCCACCTCAGATTTGACTGAGGGAAGAGGGTTGGAATCTCCCTCCTTCCCACCCCTCTTCTGTCAGATTTTTCTCATTTGCTTCAGAAGCTGGAAAACTTTGTAGCTCATATGTCTGAAGCGATGCGGCCCTCACGTCTTAAGGTTTGATGCGTTCTGACAGCGAGAAATCTGTCCGTGCTTCAGCTGTTTTGAGGGAATTATGTACAGCGTCTTCCCATGCCAGGCCATTTGGTGAGGAGATATTTGTTACAGGGAAGACCTCGAGGGTGAGATGGGGCCCTGAACTGAAACCCCCCAAGCCCTGTCCTGGCTTCCACAGCTCAGAGCGGTGCTGGGAGGGTGAGGACGAGGTTCAATGCTGTGTGGTTCTCGGGCCCATCTGTGCTCCGGCTGAATTTTGTAACGTCAGGAAGTGAGCTGGTAAGGGGAGGGGGAGGAGGCGCCGCGAGAGGAAGGCTGGCTTTGTGGTTTCAAGCGAAGGACTCGGACTCGGAGAAAGTGGGCTGCATTCCCAGCTTTGCTGCAGACTCCCCAGACCTTGTCTGACCTTGGACAAATCACTTAGGCCTGGTCTAGACTGAAAACTTGGGTTGGCCCAGCAACGTCGTGCAGGGGGATGAAAGATTCACACCACCCCCAGGAGATGTTGTTCCAACCTAGGCCCTGGTGTAGACAAAGGTGAGGGGTGGGGACCCCAAAGTGGGTCGCGACCCTGTGGGGTTGCCAGGGCGGGCTTAGACTTGCTGGGGCTCAGGGCCGAAGCTGAAGTCCTGGGTGGTAGGCAGGGCTTGACATATAGGAGAGAGCGAGGGAGACACATGCCCCCAATTGCCATGGGTGGGAGAGGCAAGGGGCAGCAATTGGTGAGGCTCGAGTCCCTGAGCATACAGGGGGACTAACTGGGAAGGGGAGGGCCTAGCACCCGCAGCAGGGGTCCCCCCCCCCC